AGAAGTCCTTTTGGGGAGAGTGCTGTAAAAGAATTATTGTTTGCCAGTAATAACCTTAATTGAAGATAGAAAAACATGTGATCTAGTTGTAGGCCAAGGGAACATGATGATCTGACTTTCTAGACAGTACCTTTGGCCTGGGAGGGGATTGGAAAAGTAGATAATGGGATAATTCAGATTGGGAGTTAGTATGATGGAAGATTTAGAGGTTAATGAATGTATCACGTACTGGTGTGGGTAGCTCTAAATGCTAAATAACACGTGTCTAATGCAGCCATAAGAGGGCACATTATAAATCTGTATGCTGCACACTTAGATGTCGAGTTATTGTTAGAACAAGATCTTTACCTTTTATCTCTGTTTGGAACTAAACATTGTATGCTAGCCTCTGGGTTTATTGGAATTATACTCAAGAAAGATTTTTTAATTATAATAGCCAACACTCCCTATTTACCAGTTTGTGTGAGAGAGCTTCATAATTGAATGTCACATAGTTTTATTGCATTCTTATTAGTTTTCTTGTGTTACTGTTGAGCACAGTGCTTACAGAAGTTTGCTTGTTTAGAAAGTGAAGAAAACTAACCTGGATTAATTTTGTTTAAGTGTATATATATTTCATCATCCAACTGTAAGACAACAAGTAGCAATCAGATGTATACTTAGAGAACTCTCAGGGTAGATAGTATTCTATATAGTCCAGTTAAATGTTGTCTGACACCATTCTCCCCTCTGATCCTTTATTTAGGACTGGTGAATCCATAATGGGAAGAAACATTGTAGTTTAATTTTAGAGCTAGCATGCTAAATGTCTTATTTAATTTTTAATTTGAAAGAACTGTGTTACCTGTTAAAATCTTCAAAAATATGTTTAGCTACAGTACAGGTTAGAAGGATCTTGTAATCTTCAACTAAAGTTCCCCCTGCTCTCTGAATCTTGCTTCCGTCACTCTAGACCAGTAATCTTGCTTTCCTATAAACTCAAAGCCCCTTTGTACCATTCCTTGGGGATATAATTAAGGGCAGTCAGCTTCTTAGGAACAGACGTTAAGCAAAATATTTTGTACATAATAGATGCACATATCAGATAGTCCTAAGCAACTCTACATTTGAGTGCATATCTTAAGTAATAGAAACCCTAAAGAGAAGTTCCAAGAAAGGGGAGAAAAAATCAGCCATTTATTCTTACAAGTAAATTCTGTGTCTACGAATATCTACAGGATGAAAAACAAAACAAAAAATAAAGTTATTAATGATTTTGAAGAATTTAAAAGATATCCATAACATTAAGTTATTTGTATCAGTATTTTTTGTACTCTGGACCTGATTCTAACATGGAAGTCAGTGAAAAGTGAGGGCTGGGCAAATTAATTCCAGGTAGATTTAAAAGTAGCATACCTTTAAGAATTAATAGGCCTCCAGAAAAATCACACAGAGTATGTGTTAACATGTCTTTACTTTGATGTCAAACCATAGAAACCTATGCCAAATACTCAATATTTATATATTACCCTTATTCCTTTTCTAGTAGAATACCTCTTTATTTAGTAAAATAAGAAAAGAACCATTTTAGCCTTGTGAGAACAGTTTGTGTTTAAATAGGGTTTTTGTTTGTTTGGTTGGTTGGTTGGTTGAATTGGTTTTAGTGCACGCGTGACATTTTTGTAACTTTTGACTGATTACTATTTTTTTTTTTGGGGGGGTGAGTAGATATATATTAAGAGCCTTCAAGATAGTCATTGAATTAGATATAATCAGTGCAAAAATGTAGTGGACAATTCAGCATTTATCGTAAGATTCTGCAGAGATCTTTTCATATTTGACCCACCTCAGATGTTCAAAGCCTCTGTTTAATTCTCTGTTCTGCAAAAAAGCATGTATACAAATACATTAGTGAACTAATGAGCTAGAGTATTAGGAGGCAGGGATGCCTGGTTTATTACTCCGTTGAAGGCATCTTTGGTATTATTTTATGATCCCATTTCTTCCTGCAATAAATTTTAGAACTATGATATGAGCAAATAAGCTTCTATTTGTGACTTGTTTTTTTGTTTTGTTTTGTTTTTTAACTTTATTGGGTAACAGTGTGTTTTTCCCAGGACCCATCAGCTCCAAGTCAAGTTGTTGTCCTTCAATCTAGTTGCGGGGGGGGGGGGGCACAGCCCACCATCCCATGTGGGAGTAGAACCGGCACCCCTGTTGCTCAGAGCTTGTGCTCTAACCAACTGAGTCACCTGGCTGCCCATGACTTGGTTTTTGAAATGAAGTCCATTTTGAGATTAAGATGTAACATAAAGATAAAGTGATAGGGACTAGTTGGGAGATCAGGCTGATTAAGTAATATGTTTAGATTACAGAAAATTGGAAAAGACAATTTTTTAACCTTAGTGTTCACGTACTAAAACTCGATAAACCTAATATTGTCTCTCAGAAAACCTGCTTCAATGAACAGATAAGAATAATTTATATTTAATATCTTTAGCAATTGGTGTTTCAGCAAAAAGTGTATATATTGTAAACGGATAGTAAAATGCTTTGGAGATACACTTAACACTATTCGATTCAATTGCTTAGGGTTTGTTTTTTACTAGATAGTACAATCTCCTTGGAGCCTCTATTTACTGTAACCCTTTCACTGCGTTAATTGATTTCAAGTTTTTTTTTAAATGTGTCAAAAAATCCACAAAAAAATAAGTTGATATTTTGACGATTTTATGCAAAAATACTCAAACTCTGCAGTATAGGGAAAAGTTTTTTTGAGCTCTTGGGGTAAATTTGAATACTGCAGTCAGTGGATGTAAATATTCATTCAGATATATCCAAACGTCTCATCAGCAAAGGAGTTAAAATAGGTAGGGTGAACCAGATTGTAGTTTCTTAAGCTTTAATATGCATGCAAATCACCTGGGTATCTTATTAAAATGCAGACACCGATTTAGTAAGACTGGGATGTTGGCTTAGCAGCGGTCGTGACCCTTTTGGGGGTCAATGACCCTTTCACAGGGGTCGCCTAAGACCATTGGAAAACAAAAAGATATTTACATTACGATTCATAACAGTAGCAAAATTACAGTGATAGAGTAGCAACGAAAATAATTTTATGGTTGGGGGTCACCACAACATGAGGAACTGTATTAAGGGGTCGCGGCATTAGGAAGGTTGAGAACCGCTGGCTTAAAAGTCTGCGTCTCTAACCAGCTCGCTGGTGATACTTGTTGATTCATGTAGTTTGCAGAACATGCTTTGAGTAGGAAGGAGCTAGGTGGTTTCTATTGCTCTACGTTCAACATATTATAAAATTTAGCAAAATCTTACTAATTCAGTTGTAACATATGTAAAACTGCCATAATGAGACAAGGATAAAATGAAAGCTAAGGCTTTTGGGTTAAAAAGAAACAGCAACCGGTTTAAACCAGCACAAAGAAAAAAGGGACGCTGTTCTAAGAATGTAAGAAACAGTCTCACTGGGGTCTATGAGCAAGAAATGAAATGGAACTAGGCTTTAGGGGAAGTGGAAGTTAAAAAATTAAGTAAGTTAGCTATCTCTCCCATTTCTGCTCTCCGTGTTCAAGCATTTCTGTTCCAGCCTCCCCTCTTGCATTTTCTGATACATGTCTTTGGCTTGCCATGTTATTGACTGTGACCTTCACTGTTTGACCTTTCAGCCTCAAGATTTATTATTCCTTGACAACAGTATCTCTTTTTCTTAGTTCAAATTATCAAGGGAAAATTTGGTCAGCTAATAATGAATTGTTTCTACTTGGGTCAGGTGTCCAACCTTGGGCAGTCAGCCTTCTATGTTTAGGAGGTAGTTAGTGTTGGAATCACATGGTAAGAATAGGGCCAGTGAGATTGGCCCCTTTAGAGAGGGGGTGGGTAGGCATGGAAAAGGTGCTGGTCTCCAGAATGGAGCTGTAAGTAGAGCAGGCAATGACACCTGTCTGATACATCTTTATGAATGTTCATGAAGAATGCTTTGCTAAATTAATAGAGTACAAGCCGTCCTATACCTATGTTTAGGATACTTCATAAAAGCACGTGTAATATAAAAGTTACTTAGGCAGTAGCCTGGGGCATAATGGTAGTGAACATTCTCATGAAACTAAAAATAATAAATCCTAATTATAGTATACATATATTTTAAAAATCCCCTGAGTGTTATCAGTATATACATGGGATAACAGTAAATGTAGGCAACACACACGGAACCGCCCACTTCTCCCTGTTCCTCAGTGAGTACTGTTAAGGTGTTCTGGCTTCCCCCCTATTGACTGCATCTGGGAGAAACAACCCTGCTCATTCTGCTTTTTGCTGTCTCCTGGATCTCATTTCTTACTTTTATCTTGTATATAATTTTTGAGGTGACACTCAGATTACCTTGTGAAGGAATGCAAACAAATTCTCCCATTCTTGAAATTACAGACAGAGCCACCCCAGAACATTTGAGGTTCAACTATTGGGTTGTCAGAAAAGTCATGACGCGTTTTTGCAACAAAAAACAGAAAAAATACATCATGACTTTTCCGACAACCCAATATATTCTGAAGCCTTTGGTGTAAAGAGAAAGTATAACATTCACCAGTTGGATTAATGAATCCTTGGGTTCTTATGACAGTTGAAGTAATGCCAGATACCTCATTTGTCCTAAGAGGCCATTCTGTTTATGTTGTCAGCTCCCGATATAGATAGATATATACAACTGAAAGTCAATGATAGCATTTAGAGCAATGCCTTTTTCCCAGTTTGGCTTCTCAGCAAACCAAAGCTACAGATGCTGGTGTTCTGCTTTTTCATGCATCTAAAATGGACATAGCCCCGAAAAGTACTATGCCCAGTTAATAAACGTCAAATACAATTGTACTTAAAATTTAATGATACAGTGTTTTGGGCCAGAGTGTGAACACTTTTTTAGGAGGGAAGCCTTTAAGGAAATTATTTTCTGGCTTGGAATACTGTTGTCCTTTATACTTATCTTAATTAAAGCTTTTTTTTTTCCCTTTCAGAAAAAGCCTGTGTAGAAGCTGGGTCGGCAAGAATGTCGCTTCTTATATTGGTGTCCATTTTCTCATCTGCAGCTTTCGTTATGTTTTTGGTATATAAAAATTTTCCTCAGCTTAGTGAGTAAGTATACTGAAAGAAACTGAAAAAGCCTAGACATCCAAAGAGATGAAAGTGAATTAAAAGTTAAACTAATTTTAAGCAACAGACCTATCATGGTGATTGTATATCAGCTCTCATGGCTTGTAGAGAGTCCATATTGACATTGTTATTTAAATACTTTTTTCAAATATGACTTGATTTTCTGTGCAGGGTTTTCCTAGCACTGCTCCACTAATCTTTCTAACGATCCTACACACATGTGCCTATGCCTTCTTCCTCTTCCCCCTTCACTGCATGATATATACATATAAAACTAAGTTAAAGTTTTGTGAAATGGGTGGTGGTTTCTGATATTTTCTAAACTATTCATTAAATTAATTAATTAATTTTTTACTTTTATTAGCATTTATTTGATGCTGAATTTACTCCTGGGTCATAAGTTTTTGCTTCTTCAGTTTCTTCTGGGGGATCTTTTTCTTCTGTGCATCCTCCTCTTCTGGTTTAGGAACAGTCTGCTCTTTTTCAATTAGGATCATCTCAATGTGGTAGGGAGAGCTCATGTGTGGGTTAATCCGCCTGTTAACTCCGTGAGTTCTGCTCTGCATCTTGGGAGCTTTGTTTACCTGGCTGTGCTCAGTGACCAGAGAATTGACATCTAAACGCTTAAGTTCAGCATTACTCTCTGCATTTGTAAGCATGTGCAGTAAAAATTCTGTACTCTTTTTGGCCCGTCAATCCTGTATCCAGCCCCAGTGTTTGCCCTGGGCACATCTCCCAATTCCACCGTTGTAACGACAGAATGGCACACATTGCTTTTTTTTTTTTTAGCTGAGCTATCCTGCTATCCTGCCACTTATTGGCAGCTCAGCGGCTGCTCAGCTCGGGCCAGGAATCAAACAGCTGATGCTCAGCGCTCACTCTCTTGAGTGAGCTCTTAACCAACTGAGCCACTCAGCCGGCCCCACACATTGCTTTTGTTAGGTTACATCCTTTAGATTTTTGGTGGCTTTATGGATATGCATACCCGTCGATGGCCTGGGCAGTTTTACAAGTGTTCATAAAATGAACCCGTGGATTTGAAACTCTTGATTTACATGATTTTGTGGGGTTCTCTGGGTCAAGCGAGTAGCGAACCATTTTCAGAGGTCACCTTAGGCCGCTTACAGGAAGAGATCATTTTATTTTTTAATGGTAGTAGTGACCAAGTAGATTTATTTTACAGTCCACAATAGATATTGACCTGCATTTTGAAAAACACTGATGGTCTTCTCTGCTTTCCCCCTTTTCCATCCCTGTTTTCTCCCTTCCTGCTTTTCCTTATGACCAATTTTTGTCTTCTATTCATTCATTTCCTCACCCACCACATCAATGTCTCCTAGCTCTTTTTCTCTTCCCTGTTTTATGAAAATGACATAGTCTGAATAGGTACTTTTTACAATAAAGCAGACCTTATAGAAGACTTGTACATCCCCAATTACTTAGCTAAAACTTGGGGGTGAAATGTGTTTCAGAACTACAATTTTTTCATTTTTGAAAAATAACATGTATCTCCAGCAGGATCTGGGGCAGCATCCCATAATCAAATTCATTAATAGTTTTGCAGAGAAACTTGCATCATAAAAGACTATAACTTTGTGTAAGTGTGGGTTAAGTTTTGCTGACAAATTATAAAGAACTATTGTTTTTCAGAATTTCTTGAATTTTAGGGAAGGGATTATGGACCTGAAAGATACTTTAATAGGGCAAAATATCCCAGGGCTGTTTAACCACAAAAATACCACCACCCTTGTGTAATCATGGATTATACATGTGACTACTAAAATGTAGTTAGACTTTCAACCAGGGCCAGCCTGGTGTGGTAATGGATAACCAAAATGTCATTTCAGGGTATCAGGAAGTTCCCGTTTCCTCTAAATTCCTTTTATTAACAAATTCTAATGCTTGAATATTTATAGTTAAGCTTATTTATATTTTAATACTTTGATTTCTGCATCAATGTAAATGCCTTTGGGAGGATAGCATGTTGTATGTTAATATTAGTATAATTGAATTTTAGACCCTTTCTGGTTTTGATCAGACAGTAGGAAATAAAGAGCTGACTTGAAAGAGGAAAAGAATATAGAGTGTATGTTAAGATTGTCTTTGTTCCCAATCTGCTCTCTGAGAATAACATCACATGTATATAATATGCTATTATAAACCTTTTATAATTCTGCTTATTTCCTTTTGTATTTGTGTTGTATGTGTGTATGCATACAACCCCTATAAAGAGTTTTTTCAGGTTTTAAATTTATAATTAGAAAACCCATTTACCTGCTATTTTTATAGGACTTAGGCAGCATTCTGTCATTGTTGTGCAAGGTCAGTTAAATTTTATGTAAATAGGCACAATATATTGGGTTGTCAGAAAAGTCATGATTTTTTTGTTTGTTTGTTATTTTAATTAAAAATATTTTTTTAATTGGGGAGTTGGGGGAAGGGGAACAGACAAGTTGCTGTCCTTTTGTTCTTCAGTCTAGTTGTGGAGGATGTTGCTTCACTGACCCAAGTTGGCACCATCAGTGCGCTCTTCCTGGGCGAAGCAGATCAGTCCCTGGCTTCTGGACGGGCCACTCACTTCAGCAACCGCTCACGCTGGCTGCTGGCTAAACACAGTAGCCCATGGCAACCCACTGCAGTAGGGGCTACAGCCTACGCCGTCGCCGGCGACTCACGGCTGCCCAGCTCCAGGTCAAGCTGCCGTTCAGCATCTTAGCTGTTGAGGGCAGTGTCACTGGCCCTCATATGTGGGATCTGAACTGGGGCCCTCTGGCGTCCAAGCCAGCTCTTAACCAACGTACCACTCGGCTGGTCCCATGATGTAGTTTTTCTGTTTTTCATTGCAAAAATGTGTCATGACTTTTCTGACAACCCAGTACATTAAATGCAAAGCTGATTATTTGAGGTTTTTATGAGCAAGAAATCATTCAGTTCTAAACAAGAAATTAAATATAAAGTAAAATTAATAGGGAAAATGTTTAAGTTTTTTAAAATTTATATTTTGATTATAGTTGACATACAATATTATATTAGTTTCAGATGTACATCATAGAAAATGTTTAAGTTTTTATCTGAACTTTGAGCAGAATATTACAGAAAAGGTGTGAACTGTAAATTCAATAAAATTTTTACTTAATTTCAATTGTAATTGATTATTGACTTTAGCTTATTATGCGGATCACTCAAAGTGATGTTAAATATGTTTTAAGTATTGCTAACATCAGTGATTCATTTCTTGATTCAAAATTTACTTGAATGTTGAAGCGGATGCTTTTAATCTTTTCATTTGTGTCATCCTGAACTTTCATATATAGAGTACATGTTTCACTATATTATATTAATTATATTAAAGCATTAAAAAACAAATAATTTTTAGACTTTTGAACTTAAAAATTGTGAATTTATGCTTAACATACTACAAATCAAGGCATCATCATTTTGGATAAAACTTCATGTTTTGAAGTTGACTGACTGTAATGTTAATTATCTTGGCAAATTTCTGCTTCAAAATTTCTCACTTTAATTTTATTTCTTTAGAGAAGAAAGAGTGAATATGAAGGTTCCCAGAGATATGGATGATGCCAAGGCTCTAGGAAAAGTTTTATCCAAATATAAGGACACCTTTTATGTACAAGTACTTGTAGCTTATTTTGCTACATATATTTTGTATCCTTTTTATTGAAAAATGTTTTCTACTTTTGTTCAAGAAAAAGGTATTTGTAAAAGACCTGTTCAGTTATACATAACTTTCTCTTTTTAAAAATTGTTAATGCAGTTTAATATTAGAGTATTGAAAAATTAAAATGTAAAAAATGCTTTAATTTTATCTCAACTCAATTATTATTTCTGCATATTTATTACCAGTTTTATTGTATTCTGCTCCTTCCACTTATAAACATTTTCCTTTCGTCTATATTTGAGATAATTATTTTATTAGTTAATTGATTGTCTTAATTTAAATAATTATTTTGAATTAATAGTCACCATACCATAATTTTTAAAAATTTCCTTAGGTTTGAAGATATAATTTGTATTTAATTTTTTGCTTTTCTAGATTTATATTATGAATTTTTCTTCATGATTTTTTTTTCTTCCATTTAATTGTTTTCTTTGTAAAAAATCACAAAAGGATAGCCATTCAAAGAGTATGGATTTTTAAAAATAGTATTTAGTAGCGGTTCGAGTCCAGCCCGAGCTGAGCAGCCTCTGAGCTGCCAACAGGTAGCAGGATGGCTCAGCTTAAAAAATAATAATAATAAATAAATAGAATAAAATAGTACTTAGTACTTATGTCTTTGTTTTATAAACATATATGTTGTATTTTAACTAAATCAGGAAAATAACTATTTTTTCTAAATATTTTCAAGCTGCTTATGCTGCTCGTGATTAATCTTCCAATCTGTGTACTTTAGTTTCTGATTTTTGTATCTTTTATTCTATTTTCCAAATCTTCTCAGTTAATGAAAAACATCTTTGATGTTGTAACAGTAATCATTATCCTTTTAAAACCAGCTTTTATTTTAAAAAGGCAAGTTACTTTGTTAATTATCTCAAACTATTTTTGTGCTTGCTTCCTTTTTTTTTTTTTTTTTGGTGAAGTTTGCTTTTTTTTTTTATTCCGGAATTTCTTTTGGTTTGTTAAACTTTTCAACTAAAACCTTTTCTCATAAAATTCAATAGCATTTTCTTTTCTTGGATTTATATTTGATTATATATTACACACTATATATAATATATATATTAGTGACAAATACATTTACAAAAGCTTTTGCTGCTAATACAAACATTGCTCCTTTGCCCAGCTGGTGAGATACATTTTTACTTAGGTAGTGTACTTTATGTAGATAGATGCTTTGTCATTACCTTCCCTATGCATTATTAGAAAAATTCAAATTTTGGCAAGGTCATTTGGGGCAGCTATTTGTATGTAAACTGTTTTAATAAAATATAAACTAGTCTAAGAAATCCATAACTGCTGCCTTTTCCTATTCCCTTTTGTCAGCTATCTGTGAAAACCTTGGTATTAGGCTTACAGGTTATTTTGCCTTTATATTCTCTAACCATAAATTAAAATATTTTCCCCAAATAAGAAAAAAACTTGGTTTATCTCTTTTATTTGACTTTGTAAAGTTTTTATGAACATTTTGTGAACATGGCATATAGTTTCTATTTAGTTTAGAAAATCTTTTTTTTTTTTTTGCCCCATTTTGGGAGGGATATATGGCTGAGGAATAAAGGCAATGCCCACCCACTGGGTCAATTAGCCAGATAGCATACATGAATATTGACCATCTACAGGGTAATGTGGTAGACTGGTTGTCTTAGTATCTATACGCAAACTAGTAGAAGAGAATAAACTGCCCTGTAGAAAGTGAATTGGAAGTATAGGAATGGGTTTTTTATTACAAAATACACTTGGTTTTAAATTTTAAATTATTGGTTAATATTGTCCATTCATAAGGTTTTATTGCATACTACTGTTTGTTTAATAATTAAATAATTGTAATGGTTTTGCATCATGTTTTAGATTTTTTTATAAGATAATTTGCTAAATCAGTGTTTTATAAATTATGTTCATTTACACTTTTGAATCTTAAGCTGAATGTTAAAAAGGTACTTTTTAAAACTCACTGAACCAAAAAGAGAAAGACTTTATCTTAGGGCATATAACTAGTACAGCATTAATTAATAGAAATGTAATATGAGCTACATGTAATTTAAAATTTTCTAGCTGGCACATTTGAAAAAAGTAAAAAGAAACATCTGAAATGAATTTTAATAATACATTTTACTTGAACCAATATATCAAAAATATTACTTCAACATGTAATCAACATAAAAATTATTGAGATAATTTACATTATATTTTGATAGTAAGTCTTTGAAATATGTGTATGTATTTTTTTTTTTCTTAGCTGAGCCATCCTGCCACCTGTTGGCAGCTCAGCGGCAGCTCAGCTCGGGCTGGACTCGAACTGCTGTTGCTCAGAGCTCAAACCTTTGAGCGAGCTCTTAACCAACTGAGCCACTCAGCTGGCCCTGTGTATGTATTTTATACCAATAGCACATTTTAGTTCAGACTAGGCACATTTCATTGTCTCCATAGCCACGTGTGGCTAGTGGCCTTTGGACCCAACAGTGCAGCACTAGGACCTTCATTTGTAATACCTACCTTCAAACTCTTGTATAGAAATCACTTTTTACATTATAATTACTTATTTCATCCCTAACATGTATTCATTTAACCAGCGTTTTAGAAATACTAGTTATATGATAAGTACAAATCTAGTGTTTTGAGCATTCAAAAGCAGAACTATTTCCATCTGGAATAATGGGTAGTTGTGGGTAGATACATGACAGTCATTCTAGACAGCAAGCCTAGAGCAGAGCTTATAAGCACAGGGCGTGGTTAGGAAGTGATCAGTAACCCAGTTTAGCTATAGTATAAGGTTTGGGCATGGGAGGATTAAGAAACAATTTTAAGATTGTCTAGACACTGTACTCAGATTATGGATAACTTTGAGTACCACGCTAAGGAATTTAGAATATTCATTTGGTATGGGGTAGTCATTGAAGATTTTTGAGATGTGGATGACATTAAGTGGCACCACCATTTCATTCCTGTTTGTTTCCCTGAGGCTAAAATCTTAGAGTAAATTAAAAATTTATCTTATTATGGGAAGTTTAAAACATACACAAAAGTAAAGAAAATCATATCATGAACTCCTATGTACCCATCACCCATCTTCAGCAATTATCAATATTATACCAGTCTTATTTTTGGAAGTTCTTTGACTTTGTATTTTTGGCCTGTTAGAGAAAAGTGAAATAAGTAAAGGACCATATTTGCGGTTGGGAAAGGAGATTAACATTTACTTTGATTTGGGATATACTGAGTTTTAAATATTCAAATAGCAGTATCCATACTCGAAAGTCAATCCATAGGGGACTGGTTGAATAAACCATGGTAAATGTAAACACTGGAGTACTATGTAGCTGTTAAAAAGGGTGGGAAGTATATCAATATGCTGTTAAGGCATTATATCAAGGATATATTAAGTGATAGAGATGAAACAGGGATAAAAGTGAAACTTCTCTAAATTGTGTAAATTTCACTTTATAGTTTACATAATTATAAAACCAATTAAAATGAAAAGAGAAACAGGAATCTTGAAAATCTAAAGCAACTTCATACCCATTAGGATGGGTACTATAAAAAAACTAGAAAATAACAAGTTTTGGTGAGGATATAGAGAAACTGAAACCCCTATGCATGGTTAATAGGAATGTAAAATGGTGCAGCTGCTGTGGAAAACGTAAATGTTTTTGCAAAAAAATGAAAAATAGAATTACCATATGATTCAGCAATCCCACTTCTGGGTATATAACCAAAAGAATTGAAAGCAGCGTCTTGAAGAGAGACCCATGTTCATAGTAGTGTTATTCACAATAACCAAAAGGTGAAAGCAACCCAAGTGTTTTTTAATGGATGAATAAATAAGATGTGGTATGTACATACAATGGGATGTTATTCAGCCTTAAAAAAAGGATGTTCTAACACATGCTACAACATGGATGAACCTTGAGGACATTATGTTAAGTAAAATAAGCCAGTTGCAAAAAGACATGTCATATAATTCTATGTGTATGAGGTACCTAGAGTAGTCCAATTCATAGAGACTGAAAGTAAATGGATAGTTATCAGGTGCTACGGGAAGGAGGAAATGGGGAGTGTTGTTTAAGAGTATAGGGTTTCAGTATTGCAAAATGAAAAGAGTTCTGGAGATTCATGGCACAACAATGTGATAGTACTTACTGATACTAACTGTACACTTGAAAATGGTTAAGATGGTAAATTTTACCAAAATTTCTAAAAATAAAAAATATATAGCAAACTTAAATGACGAATTTAACAGTTGCTGGGGGTTTGGCTATCTAGAGGAATTATTTCAAATGACCTTGAAAACAATAATGTGACTGTACATCCCTTCTGGGATAAGTATGAAAGAAATCAAACTATTTTCAGTTATTGTTAGTAATATTCTGAAATTCTTAAATATATAGTTTCAGAATTATGCTATTGTATATATTTTATATAATATATATTTAATAGTATGTAAAGGAAATAGGTATTTGCTTGTGACATTAAGAACCAAGATTTTTTCATGTAAGAGAAATACAGATCTAAATTTTAAAACTGGAAAGTTAAGCTCAAATCACATTTTCATGCAGAGAGAAGAATAGCTTTGTTAATACTACAAGATAAAAGACAGAGGTGAACTTATTAAACCATTTTAAGGGATACAATAGGCGAGCAAATAACATGTGTGGGCTTTTTTTTTTTTTTTAATCCTGATTTAAACAAACCAGCTGTAAAAAATTTTTTTTTGAAATCTGAACACAGACTAAATACAGAAGGAACCCAAAAAAATGTATACACATTTTAAGAAAGGAAAAAAACTGTATTAAAATTGTACTACTCAGTATATACCGATAACAAAAGATGAATACAAGTCACGTACATACATTTTTTGGGCACCCCCAGTAGATATTTAGGATGGTAAGGTATCCTAAAGAGATAGTTAATCTCTTGAATTCTGACAATAGTATTCTAGCTATGTTAAAAGGAAAAGGAATTCTTTTAAAGGTATTAAAGTAGTTGTGTATTTACTATGTTTCCCTGAAAATAAGACCGGGTCTCATGTTAATTTTTGCTCCAACAATCTACATTTATTCATTTATTCATGAACAAAAATCTACATTTATTCAAACAGTCATGTTTGGCTGATGATCTTAATTAGGGCTTATGTTTGGGGTAGGGTTTATATTACGAGCATCCTGAAAAATCATGCTAGGGCTTATTTTCCAGTTAGGTCTTATTTTTTGGGAAACACGGTGTTGATATGTGTGGAATTTTCTTCAGAATAATTCAGTGTAAGGGATATAGACAAACCAAGATTGTGTGTTAACTGTTGAAGCTGTGTATGGGTTTATAGGACATCGTAATACTAGTTTCTCTATTTTCATGTGTTTGAAACTTTCCATCGAGTTCTGAAGAGCTCTGTTAATAAATAAATTAATAAAGCTAATTTTTAATTATCTTTTAATGGAGGTATGCAATAAACAGATTGAAAATTTGAGACTGTTATTTGACTGGAAAGGTTGAATCAGAGATAGAGAATTCGGAGTTATCAGTATATAAAGCCAGATACTTGAAGACACGGAAATTGCTGACTTCATTAAAGGAAAGGAAGAGTGTGGCTAACAATGTTAGAGAAATCCCAGATATGAGGATGAGGAGAAGAAAAAAACTTGAGAAGGAATGATCTGTAATGTAGAAGAAAAGGGAATTTCATGCGAGAGGATGTTTAATCCTATTCAGGGATCACTAAAAAATGACTTGAGAAAAAGTTGTTAATTTTGGCTGGGAAGATGTTTCAATAGAGTAGTGAACCAGTAAGCTGCGTGACAAGGAGAGAGATACCTCTGTCAAGAAAAGCCTAGATTTTCTTTAGTTTGTAGACATCTGAGTGGTTTTATATAGGATGGATCCCATGAAAGAGCAAGAAGTTGAAGAAAGAACTCAGGAGGAAGAAAATTGAAATGAAAACATAAGTAAAGTGGGAACTAGAGAAAAAAAGGAGAGAAAGAAATAATGGATGGCGATAGAAATTTTAAAGTAGAAGGAGAAATGTTGAGGGAGTTAGCCTGATTGACTTGTAAGTAAATTATATTAGGGGGGTGATGGAGAGGTCCAAGCCAAAATTAGCAACTAGAAGAAAGTAGGAAAAAACAATTGTTTTCAAAATACGATTGTGATTTTTACTATATTTCTAACCCCCTTTTTAAAATTAATGAAGCAAATGTCTATAAGTTAAATTAGAAATGAGTAATTATTATACCTTACAGAAATCATATTTCCTGAAAACATTGAGGAGTAAATGCAATGCATTTGAGAAGCATATTATTTAAAAGGTTACCAAAGACCTTTTTCTTCTGTTTCTTTTTTTTTTTTTTTGCCAGTTCCTAATTCCGTGTTTTTTTTGTTTGTTTGTTTTTTTGCCTAATTCCTCTGTATCTGGTATGTGTTAGTAAATGGTCAATTTAGAGTTAAAGGCATTATAACTGAAGGGTCATATTTAAAAATTTTTGAATTTAGTTTTATTTTTTAATACTGAAATATGGATATAATCTCATTAGCATGATAACTTATGTATTGATACTTTTTTCCTGAAATGTTGGATTTGTCTTTTAAAAATTCCACTTAATTATGTTTTAATCCTTAACTTAAAAGTTAACAGCTTGCAAACATTTGCTATTCCAGGCTCTATATTCCTCAGTATACTCTCAGGGTTTCTGTATCCCTTTCCACTAGCCTTATTTCTTGTTTGTTTGGTAAGTATATAAAGTGAAATTGGGAGACTAGAAAAAAAAAATCACTTTAAATAGAATGATGAGGATGGCATTACTAGTCCCACTAGTCTATATAAGCATGAACTCATTAGTTTTAAGAGGCATTTAACGTTAAAGTAATATCTAAGTCCCTCCATAAGGAGGTGTTATAGTTTTTATTTCTAGAACTGGGGTATCATAGCCTTAATTGCATTTGTAGGCTCTGTTTTTACCTTTTCTTCCCATTGTGTTTTGTAAAAATGGTCCAGGAGTGTTGGTGGGCAAAATGAGTTAAACCCCAGGGCTGGGTGTTGGTATTTTCAAGCATAGCAATTGAAAACAAAATTGACTGTTGAAGTTTTAGTCTTAGGCTAAAGGCTAACATTAACTTATTTGGATGTAGTCACTAAATTTAATTACAAGTGCCTGTTTGTTGTAGCTGGTCTCATTTTAGTTATAATTTGGTCTGAGAAGGGACTAGATCAAATGCGCTCTTGTTCTCTGCAAGAGATGCCATGCACAGTATCCCCCCATGCCCCAAAAGTAATTAACTATTGTAGTTGGGCTTTTCCTTCGGTGAATATATCCATGTGAATAAGATGGAATAATACAAAATGCTTATGGCTTCTTGTTGTTTTCTAGTGTTCTGGACTCGGTGCCTCATTTTGCTACATGCTCTCCTATTTAGTTGGGAGGCCAGTTGTATACAAATACCTAACAGAGAAAGCAGTAAAATGGTCACAGCAGGTAAACACGTATTTTTTAATTATTTAATGTAATTCTTTGGCTAATTGGGAGGTCAGTGTCTAGTTCCTACATAATTTAACTCAGATAACTTCAATAAAAATGATCTTTTGGCCAAAACAAAATCAAGTGCTAGGCAAATAATGTTAATAATTTCAAATATAAAGGTTTTGTACCTGTAACAGTAATTTTAATTCTTCATTCCTAGTAAGTTCAATCAGAGCAGAGAAGTCAAAATGTTGATGTAAAGGAATCCACATATTTAGACGCTTCACCTGTTTTGTGTTGATGCAGTTATGCTGTGAGTGGGTCCCTGAAGAACTTGTATCAGCCAGTTCCTTTAATGCATTTCATCAGAGGGAACAACTGTTACCTTCAGTCAGGATCTCTGTGAAGGCTAGCAATAATAAAAATAAGCACTATTACACAGAAAAGTCTTAACATATATTGCTTAGAAAAGCCTATTTTAATAAAGAATCAAAAGAAACACTTAAATCTCGGAGGAATTTTAGAGATCTTTGCCTTACCCCTTTGTTTTACTGACTAGGATTTTAACAGAAATTAAGCATGTGGCCCCAAATCATTTACTTGTAAAGCAAGATCTAGAATTTCAGATCTCTAGACTGGTAGGTTAGTGCTCTTCTCACTTTATCACATATGTACTGAATATTAAAATCATTTTACATGTAAGTTTTTCTTTGGAATAGCTGTTTTCTGTAATTGAGCTTATTAGTTATTCAAAGAACTGTTAACTGTAACCACTGCTTATATTGGCTAAATATTTCTGTAAACTTGTTTAATCTCATTTATCAATACTGAATGAATTCACTCATATGATATATATTATAATAACATGAAATAAAGATTATCTGAATTTTTAAAAAATTGGAATCTAGGTATATTGATGTGTTATCCTAGACCTTTACATTCTAGGAAGTTAAAGGTATTAAAAAGTTGGATACTTGATGTGTATCTTATATCGTCGTAAGTTTAATTTTGCCATTTTATGTTCAAAATGTCATTGAGTCATCATGATGTATTCATAGGCTGATGTAGAACCATCTTTAGTAGTGTAATGTTAAGGTATAAGCACAATTTAAAAACCTCTCATTCCATGTTATTTCGTTCTGGTAATGAGCATTTGATAAGTAGTTCGTTATAAATTTCAAGCTTCTCTTTTGATCATTTGTATTGGATAAACTCTGAACTATCAAAGAGGAGAATTTGAAATAAGGTATTTTATATCAAGCTATTATTTTCAAGATTGACTTCATCTTGATTCTAATTATTTTCTTTCTTATGACAGGTTGAACGTCATAGAGAACATCTCATTAACTACATTATATTTTTGAGGATAACACCATTTCTGCCTAATTGGTTTATTAACATTACATCTCCTGTAATAAATGTACCATTGAAAGTTTTTTTTATTGGCACTTTTCTAGGTAAGGACCCTGGTTCACGCTGTGTTAGATACTCATTGTGTACGTAACTACCAGTGTCCAGCTGGGTAGAATTCATGCTCTTTGCACATGTGCCAGGACCATGACACAGCCTGGCCTGTATAAATAGATGCTCAGAAATGTTGGTTGGACTGTGTTGATTTAAGTATTTTTGTGTTACTTCTTTTAAAGAAGAGTACTCTCTACTGGATTTTTTTTTTTTTTTAAGATTTTTATTGGGGAATTGGATGGGAACAGACAAGTTGCTGTCCTTTTGTTCTTCAGTCTAGTTGTGGAGGACGTTGCTTCCCTGGCCCAAGTTGGCACCATCATTGCGCTCTTCCTGGGTGATCCTTTGCTGACTTCTGGACCCCCTCATGGGCGGCTGCTGGCTACACACAGTAGCCCATGGCAACCCACTGCAGCAGTGGCTGTAGCCTACACGGTTGCTGTCGACTCACAGCAGCCCAGCTCCAGGTTGAGCTGTTGTTCAGCATTTTAGCTGTAGAGGGCAGTGTCACTGGCCCTTATTAGTGGGATCCGAACTGGGGCACTCTGGCATCCCAAGCCAGTTCTTAACCATTGCGCCACTCGGCCAGCTCTACTGGATATTTTTTTTAATCATGAAGGATTAAGCAGGATTTTAAAACTCCATTCTCTTCTTCAGTGGAGAAGGGAAAAAAATCAAGGTTCCTTTTTTGAATAATTTTCTCCTGTGTCTTTTAATCAAGTACTGAGATATTGAACTTTAAATATCAGTAGAGAGTTGATCCTATTTATCATTTTATTAAAATCATTATTTGTAATAGGCATTTCCATAGTATTGGGGAAACAAGGATTAACAAATATTCTTGCTTTCAAGGAGCTGATACTTAATTTTGAAATTAGTCAGTGGACATAAAGATTCATTTATATATTTTATGAATTCTGATGGTTCTTTAGTAAGTATTCTGCTCTTTTAAATTTAAGTTGAATTGTTTAGATACCAACAAAATGAGCAGATTCTTCATACACTGAGTGTGTTACATTAAAGTTAATACTTGTGAGAATAGATCTTTTTGAAAAGAATAATCAAAATCAATTTTTTTATTATTTTTTGAAGATTCATTGACAAACTTAAAATCTCATCGGGGTAATTTTGGATTTTGTAAAATAATGTTAACATTCATGGAATGAGGAGAGAATTTTTGTCCACGTCTTATTTTACAGATGAAATACCTAGAGATTTAGTTAACTTCAGCTTTGGGTAAAGCAATTTTTTATCAGTTCTGGTTTTTAATGAAATGTGATCATTTTGCCTGTGCTCTTGTTTAAAATATTATTTTTACTCATATTTGGAGTATCTTTCCATTTCTGAGTATCTCCTACCACTTCATTTTTAGGTATATTCTACCAAGGACGAAGACAACATACTCAGTCTTATTTTTGCACATTTAGATTATTTCCAGATTTTTATTACTATAATGCTTTGATGAACATTCTTGAGACTAGATCTTTGCTCATACATATTATTATTTCCTAAAGTTGAAATTGTTGGATCAGAGCACATTCTTTTTTTTAAGGCTCTTGATAAATGTTGTAATTTCCTACAAACTTTTCTTGGGTTTTTAAATCCATTATCCTTAAAAAGTGATTATGAAATGTTTAATTCTTTATATGGAAATAAACTTGGGGGGGAGGGGCTTTAAGTGAAATTAAAAATTCCCAAAACGGAGATTACTATATTCTTAAAATAAATTTTATACATGCAGAAAATTTTAATTATAAAAAACAATGGATGAGTCTTACTGTTTTTGTTGTTTTGTTTTTAGGTGTCGCACCTCCCTCTTTTGTAGCAATCAAGGCAGGAACAACACTGTACCAGCTTACAACAGCAGGGGAAGCTGTTTCCTGGAACTCAGTATTTGTTCTAATGGCTTTGGCTCTTCTCTCTATCCTCCCAGCCATCTTCCAAAAGAAACTAAAGCAGAAATTTGAGTAAAAAATCATCTGGTTTTTAGTTTTCCAATCATCATCATCTCAGGATTGGCAGGTTTATGTGTTAAGATCACCTCTTTAGTAATTGAAACAAGGAATTTTAAAATAAAATATTTCTTATGAGACAGTTGAAATAATGTGTTAAAGTGGCAAGGGACAGAAGAAAATGAGAATGAAAATTGATATACTATGAAAAATGCTATCAGTAGTTATGGTAGCCATCTTGTAAATTACTATTCCAAGGGTAGCTATAGAAAATTAGCAACAGCACGGTAGGAAATTCTTGACCTAATTGATTCATTCAATTTAATACATTAATGAACTGGCTATGAATACTTATCCTTGACTTGATATTTTAATATTTTTCTCTCTTATCTCTTACTAATAACTAAAATAGATATAAAGGAAATATTCTAGATTTTTATAAATAATATTGTAGATCTGGCTAATATTAGCCTTCTTTCAGAGAATAAACTTAAAACTAAAGCTCAAAAGATATTTACATCATCTTCCTCTTTTTACCTTTGAGGTAATAGATTTGTTTAGAAATTGCATCTTAGTGGACTACTGAATTTGGAAAGGATATCAAGTTATATTTATTTAGTGAATTTTATTTTTGATTTTTTCTGTTCTAGATTATGTCATGGATTAGTCTGAAATTTAAAATTCTGACCAGTCTATTTTCATCATTTTTTTCTAGTTTTCATAGTATTCCTACTGTGCATATACAAAATGGTGATTACATGATAATTGTATCGTATTGGTGTTGATAATTTATATTCAGATAATATTTTGTTACACAGTTCCCCTTTACTATCTCAAAAGGGAATCAAAGCAAACATTCAAAGTATATAGTTTTTAGATGTTAGATTAATTATATTACTTTATATTTTGAAACAGAAACAGTGACAGCGCAACATTTAAGTAGTTAAATATAGTTTATTTGTTCAATGACTGTAAAATTTACCTCATTTATTTATTAGTCTGGTCATTAAAGTATGTATTTTGTAATTATCTTCCGCATGATACACTTACAAGAATGCCTTGTTTCATTACTATTGATGGCTTTTTTGTTTGGAGCTGCTTTTGATTAACGTAGTTTCTCAATTTAGTGTTTTTACTTTTAATAACTCAAAGTATAATTAACTTCTCACATGGTAACTACTCTATGGAAAAAGTCCTGGAAACACGAAACAGCTTTTTGCTGCTTGCTTAATGGTAGCACACTTGATTCTAGGACATAACCGATCTAAAGTAAAGTACTCTCACAGTTTTACCTTTACCCAAGAATGTCACACTGAACAGTACTTCAACTATGGGAAAAATCCTTGTATGTTTTTATTGTGAGAGGTATGATCATCCTCAAAGCCTGTTTCTACTATATAATGTGGACTGATTATTATTTTTTCTATCACAGTATTAACAAATGGATTTACTGTAAATACAAAGAAAATATATTGAGTAATATACTATTCTTATGTCATCTGGACTTTTGTGTGAAATTATTTATTGTTATTTCTAGCAAGTTTTTTTCCCCTTAATGACCAGAGACTGAGTGATAAAGCTTTTGTTATTTTTACAAATGAACTTAAAACATAACCTTTTTGGACAAAGTTCACTAAATATTACTGTAGAAATGTAATTGAATAAATTTTTATCAGACTTTTAAAAATAAAATGTAAGAGTTTAGACTCAGGAGAAGCCTCACTGTTTACTCCAGTATGTATATATTGTACTTAACTCTATTCTCAGAGTATTTTCTCCATCCTTATCATTGATTCTTTCCCTTTGCTGATTATTTTTTTCTGTTAGAAAATTGTAACGTCATTCAAGGTGGAGTATATTTTCTTCTCCCAAGAGAATGGCCAGTCTTTCCAGATTCATCATCATTGACTGTCAAAAAAAAAGAACCCTTTAGTGGGCTGTACCCTAAATGCAATTGGTGGCTTATATTCATGGATTCACAGAGTTGGCTTGATGCCAGATATGGATTCATAGTTTAGCCACCTCTTAAAAGACAATTTCATAGTAATAACCACAAGAGAGTAAGTATGTGGAGTGAGTGGGGATGTGTGCAGGCTAACTGGGAAGTTCACACACTAAATGACACACTGTCCCCTTCTTAGTGAATGGCCCCTCTCTGGAGCTCTGTTACCTTGAGTGTAATATTTCTAAGACAATAAATACAAACTAAAATGTAATAAGAATAAAAAAACTTAAATGTAGTACTTGGGATTTATTTCATGGTAGTATTTGTATTTAAAAATCTTTTATTGAATAAAAATATATTCTCTTGAAATTCTGATGAACATTTTCGCCTCTAAGAAAAATTTAAAAACCTTTAATTTTTATAGTTGGCTTTTGAGAACCTTTAAGCAATTTAAATTGTACAGGTAAATAAATACTGATAAATGGCTAAGTTTCTAATATATATAATGATTTTTCTATAAAAGAATCTTTTTAAATTTCCTTTTGGGTTTTTGAAAATGGGTAGAATCAATCAAATGGGCTGAAGCTTTTCTGGTGTGTAATTATCATTCACTGATTGTAGTTTAGATATGTAGAAGGTGAGTTTTATTGCAGTTTCAATATTCTGAGGTTTTTTTTCCTTTCTTACCTAGGATTCAAAATCTCTTAAGCCTTACATAGAGGTTGAGATTATTTTTCCTATTTTCATGTAGCCAGAAGCTAAATTCTTTCAGTTATTCACCTTACCAAATACTTTATATGATCTATAGGTTTAATGCAATTCCCATCAATATCCCAGCAAGATATTTTTGTAGATATAGACAAGATTATGTTAAAATTTATATGGAAATGCAGAGGAAGTAGAATAACTAAAATAATCTCAGAAAAGTGGGTAAAGTGAGAGGAATCACTTCTAGATTTGAAAACTTATTATATAGCTACAGTAATCAAGACAGCGTCGTATTGGCAGAGGGATAGATGTATCGATCAATGGAATAGAGTAGAAACACCAAAAAGAGACCCACACAAATATATTCAACTGGTTTATTTTTTGTTTTGTTTTTTGCTTAATCGGGGAAAAGTATTTTTCCAGAACCTATCAGCTCCAAGTCAGGTAGTTGTTTCAATCTAGTTGTGGAGGACGCATCTCAGTGGTCCATGTGAGGATCGAACTGGCAACCTTGGTGTTATGAGCACTTGTGCTATAACCAACTGAGCTAACCAACTGCCCCGTCAACTGGTTTTTGACAAAAGTGCAAAAGCACTTCAATGGAGGAAAGATAGTTTTTTAAACAAATGGTGCTGGAGCAATTCATACTTGACAGCAGAAGCATGATCCATAAAAGGGAGAATAGATAAATTGTACTTTAAAATTAAAAATGTTTGCAAAAGATCTTAAGAGGATGACAAGACAAGCTACAGAATGGGAGAAAATATTTGCCTACCACATATCTGACCGATACAGGCCTGGTATCTATAGAATGTATACAAATTATCAAAATTCAACTGTAAAAAAATCCAACTAGGAAATGGGCAAAAAATATGAACAAACATTTCACCTAAAAGGATATACAGATGACAAGCATATGAAAAGATGTTCAACATTATTAACCATTAGAGAACTGCAAGTTAAAACCACAATGAGATATCCCTACACATCTATCTGAGTAGCTAAATAAAAAATAGTGACAACACCAAATGTTGTCAAGGATGTGGAGAAATTGGATCACTCATTCATGTATTGCTGGTGGGGATGTTAAATTGTACAGCCAATCCAGAAAACAATTTGGTGGTTTCTTCCTTTTTTTTTTTAAAGATTTTTTTTTAGGGAATTGGGGGAGGGAAACAGCATTGGGGAATGGGGGAAGGGGGACGGGTAGACTAATTGCTGTTTTGTTCTTCATTCTAGTTGTGGAGAATGTCACTTCACTGGCCCATGTTGGTATGATCATTGCGTTCTTCCTGGGTGAGGCAATCGATCACCGGTCATTGGTTGGCTGCTCACAGCAGCTCTCGCCGGCTGCCAGCTGCTCACGCTGGCTGCCAGCTGCTCACGCTGGCTGCCAGCCACTCACATAGCTCACAGCAGCCCACTGCAGTTGTAGCTGCCGCCGCCCCCGACTCAACAGCCCAGCTCCAGTTGTAGCTGTTCATCATCTTAGCTGTAGAGGGCGCAGCGTCACTGGCCCTCAATGTGGGATCTGCACCTCAGCCCTGCTGCTCAGAGCGGGTGCTCCCAAGTGAGCTCTTAACCAACTGAGCCACTTGGCTGGCCTTGGCTGACCCATACTTTGTTTTAAAAACAAAGCATGCGGGCTGGCTGAGTGGCGCATTGGTTAAGAGCTGGCTTGGGATGCCAGAGGGCCCCGGTTCGGATTCCACATGTGAGGGCCAGTGACACTGCCCTCCACAGCTAAGATGCTGAACAACAGCTCAACCTGGAGCTGGGCTGCTGTGAGTTGCTGGCGC